CCCCCCCCCGCTACCGTATCAGGGCCTGGGCTTCCACCACTACAGGGCGCAGAAGCCCCCTGGGGAACTGTGTAGAGGGTGAAAAGGCCGCCGGAGGCCCAGGCTGGGAACACCGGCCTCTCGGGCTGCCCCGCCCCCAAAGCTCACCTGACGGCCGCCCCGGTCCGCAGGAAGCGCTGAATGGCCCTGTCAGCTGCAGTCATCGCTGCTTCAGCCCGGGAGCTCAGCATTGCGGCCGCGTCAGAGGCCTGTCGCCGCCCCCCACGCTACATCCGCAGCCGGACGGAGGGCTCCGCTCCCGAGGCGGCGGAACCTGCGACCACAGTCCCAATTCCTCCGGATAAGGGAAGTCGAAGGACGGGCTCCCAGAAGGACCGGAAGTAGCTCCCACCGGAGAGCAATAGCTGACGGACCACGTCCTTGTTCTTCCTTCCTTCTTAGCAGCGGGCGCCGGCGTCGTTTGCGCTAGGTGGCCCAGCAGTCTGCTGCGGCTTCGTTTTCACGTTTTGCCCGGTTTCCATTCACAAATATAGATGCTGCACTTCCAGAACGGATCCTGGATCATGGTTTTGATTTTTTTTTAGCGTGGAAAGGGAGCTCCTGCCTGAAAACGGGGTCTTTAAAATCAAAGTCTTCAATAATGATAGCCCCAAACTTACTGTTTACTTAGGTTCCTGATACATCGCCAAGTACGGGTAATATTCACATTTAATCTTCATACCAACCTTAATTACCCTAATTTTTCATCCCAGGAAACCCAAGACATTTAGAGAAGTAGTAAATCTTTTGGCACAGTTTGTAAGTAGTGGAGTAGAGGTTGGCAAGTCTGTGTCTCCCGAACTGTTCGGTAAAAATATAATGGGAGCCACATACATCATTAAATGTCGTAGTAGCTGCATAAAACTAAAAAGCAAGAGGTGAAATTACTTTTACCAGTGTATTTTACTTCACCCAATAGATTCAAAACATTTTCATTAATTTTTTAATAATTACTTAACTTTCCTTCTTTTGTTCCTTCTTTTCCTTCTTTTTCTTTCTTTCTTTCCTCCCTCCCTCTCTCCCTCCCCCTCCCTCTCTCCCTTTCTTCTTCTCTTCTCTTTCTCTTTCTCTTTCTCTTTCTCTTTCTCTTTCTCTTTCTCTTTCTCTTTCTCTTTCTCTTCTCTTACCAGAGAGGGACAGAGTGAGACAGACAGAGAGGGAAAGTGAGAAAGCAAGCCACCAGGTCCAGGACTTGAACTGTGATTGGCCATGTGGGAGTCCAGCACCCTTAACCACTACACCACCTGCCAGCCCCATTTTCATTAATTTTTCAAATTCAGTTGGGGGGTGATCACACTGCAGTCCCTTCTCCATTTTCCTCTTGGGATTTCTGGCACTCAGCAGATGTTCTTGGCATGTTTTTCAAGCCACCAGGTCACCATTTCTGGGACTCAAACTATACAGTAGGCCATGTGGGATTCAGCTACCTCAACCACTATGCCATTTACAGACCCTTAACCACACTTCTTTTTAATTGCCAGAGAGAGCATATGCTTACAAGAGAGAAATGGAGGGACATAGAAGAGAGAGAACACCCATTCATAAGGTACGGTCATGCTACAATCTCTTCTTCATTGCTTAAGCTTGGTGGAATTAGGGGCCTCCACAACACACACCTGGTGTGTTTTTCAAGCTGCCAAGACCAAATCTGCCATTGGCTATATGGGACCTGGTTCCCTTAACCACTAAGCTTTGTGGTCAGCACTTAGCTATGTTTAGGGTTCAGTGGAATTAAATACATCCATAATGTTGTGCACCCATCACCAGCATCCATCCCCAGAACTCATCATCTTGTAAAACAAAACTCTGCTCCCGTTGAATAATAACTCCTTAAATCCTCCCAACTCCTATGAATCACCATTGGACTTTTAATCTATGAATTCAACTACTCTAAGTACTTAATATAAGTGGAATAATACAGTAATTTTTATTTCTGTGACTGGCTTGTTTTATTTAGCATAATATCCCTAAGGATCATCCATTTTGTGGCATATTGCAAAATTTCTTTTCTTTTTTAAAGAATTATTTATTTTACTTTATTTTTATTATTATCTTAATTTGACCAGAGAGAGAGAAAAAAGGGGAAAGTGAGAAAGCAAGCCACCAACTGGGACTTGAACCATGATCAGCCATGTGGGAGTCTAGCACTCTAATCACCACGCTATCTGCTGGCCCAAAATTTCTCCCTCCCCTTTTTTTGGATAGATTTTTGCTATCGGACGCATGTGCTTGCCAGAAAGACAGAGACAGAGAGACAGAAAGCGAGAAATTACCCCTCAGGGGGGATGGCCACACCGCAATCCCTTCTCCATTCTCCTCTCTGGATATTGGGCACGCACGTACACACTCCCGGCATGAGTTTAAGCCACCAAGTCCAGGACTTGAACTGCGGTTGACTACATGGTAGTCCAGCAATATAGCCATTATGCCAATGGCTGGTCCCTTTCCTTCCTTTTTAAGACTTAATAATATTCCATTGTGTACCATATTCTGTTTATCTATTCATCCACTAACACAGGTTGCTTCCATGTTTTAGCTGTTTTGAATAATACTGTTATGGGTGTACAAATATCTCTTCAAGACTCTTCTTTCAATACTTTTGGATATAGACCTAAAATGAAATTGCTAGATCATATACTAATTCTATTTTAAATTTTTGATGAGCCACCATACTGTTTTCCACAGTGGCTGCAACATTTTACATCCTCACTGACAGTGCACAGGATTCTAATGTTCAACATCCTTGCCAACACTTGCTATTTTCTTTCTTTCTTTCTTTCTTTCTTTCTTTCTTTCTTTCTTTCTGTCTTTCTGTCTTTCTGTCTTCTTGCCTGCCTGCCTGCCTTCCTTCCTTCCATCCTTCCTTCCTTTCTTCTTTATTTTATTATAGTATTTATCCTGTTGGGTATGACATGTTATCTCAATGTGATTCTTTTAAAAAGAATTATTTATTTAATTTTATTTCTTCTTTTTCTCCTTCAGTTTGACCAGGGAGAAAGAGAGAGAGAAAGAAAAGAGAGAAACAGATGAAGGGAGGCTGAGAAAGCAAGCCTCCAGGACTAGCACTCAAATCATGGTCAACAATGTGGGAGTCCAGCACCCCAACTTCCAGGCCACCTGCCACGCCACCTGCCAGCCCTCAATGTGATTCTAATGCATTTCCTTAATGAATAGAGATGTTGAGTATCTTTTCATGTGCTTACTGGCCATTTGTGTATCTACTTTGGAAAAATGTCTATGTAAGTTCTTTGCTTTTTTTTTTTTTTTCCTTCAGAATTTTTGCCATAGGGTTCATGTACTCAACGGAGAGAGAAAAATCACCCCCCAGGGGAGATGGCCACACCACAGTCCCTTCCCCTCCATTCTCCTCTTGGGATTTGGGGCACACATGATGCCAGGTCTGAGACTCTAACCACAGAGTCAGCCATGTGGGATTCACTGCCTTAACGACTACACCTGCTGGCCCATCCTTGCCCATTTTTAAAGTAGATTTCTTATTATTTTGCTGTTGAGTTTTAGAACTCCTCTATATATTCTGGATATTAATTCCTTTTAACAAATTTAGCATTTGCAAAAATACTCTTCTATGAGCTGCGTTTTTACATTGTTGCTAGTATCTTTTGATGCATACATTAAAAATTTTTCATGCTTACTTTTTCTTTGGTTGCCTGTACCTTCAGTGTCATATACAAGAAATGACTATGAGATCCATTGTCATTGAAGATTTGGCCCTATGTTTTCACCTGAATTTTGTCATTTTAGATCTTGTATATAGGTCTTTGATCCATTCTGCATTAATTTTTTTTTTTTTGAGAGGTGTTTGCCACAGGGCGCGTGTGCTTGCCAGCCAGACAGAGAAAGACAGAGAGACAGAAAGAAAGAGACCCCCCCCCGGGGGGGGATGGCCACACTGCGATCCCTTCTCCTCCATTCTCCTCTTGGGATCCTGGGCACGCACGCGCACGTGCCGGGCGTGAGTTTCAAGCCACTGGTCCAGGACGCGAACTGTGGTCGACTACATGGGCGTCCAGCGACATAGCCATTACGCTAACTGCTGGTCCCCATTGTGCATTAATTTTTGTATATTGTGGTAGGTATCCCTTTGCCTGTGGAGATCCAGTTTTTCTAGTACTATTTGTTGAATAGATTGTCCTTTCCTCATTGAATTGTCCTGGCACTCTTGTCAAAATCATTAGGCAATATTTGTTATGCGTTATGCTAGGATCTCTACTCTGTTCCATTGGTCTACATGTCTACCTGTATGCCAGCATCATACTATTTGAATTACTGTTGCTTTGTAGTTAGTTGTGAAATCAGGAAGCATGAGTCCTCCAGCCTACTTCTTTCTCATGATTGTGTTGGCTATTTGGAGTCCCTTGATCCACATGAATTTTAGGATTGGTCTTTCCATTTCTACAAAAAAAAAAAAAAAGGGGGGAAAAAAAAAAAAAAAGGGGGGGGGGGGACTAGCAGTTAGTGCAATGGCTACGTCACTGGACTCCCATGTAGCTGACCACGGTTCGAGTCCCAGACCCAGTGGCTTAAACTCACACTGGGCGCATGTGCGTGCATGCCCAAAATCCCGAGAGGAGAAAGGAGGAGAAGGGATTGCGGTGTGACCATACCCCCTGGGAGGTGATTTCTTGCTTTCTGTCTCTCTGTCTCTCTCTGTCTTTCTGGCAAACACGTGCGCCCTATAGCAAAAACCTCTCCAAAAAAAAAAAAGTCAAGACTTTGATAGAGATTGCATTGAATCATTAGATTGCTTTGGGTATTATTGACATTTTAACAGTATTAGATCTTTCAATCTATAAACATGGGATATGTTTCCATTTATTTATGTCTTTTAAATTTCCTTTTCAGGGTTTTGTAGTTCTCATCACTGTCAATAAATGTTTTCTTTTAATTTTTTAAGAGGTTTTTGCCTTAAGGCACATGTGCTCACTGGAGGGAGAGACAGAGACAGAGACAAGTGAGAGGGAAAGTGGGAAATTACCTCCAAGGGGGATGGCCATACTGCAATGCCTTCTCCTCCGTTTTCCTTCTGGGATTTTGGGCATACATGCTCACACTCTCAGTGTGACTCTCAAGCCACTGGGACCAGGACTCAAGCTAAGGTCAGCCTTGTGGGAGTCCAGCAACGTACCCACTATGCCATCTGCTGGCCCCAATTAATGTTTTTCAATATTTCCTTTTCAATTGTTCATTGTTGCTATGGTTTTAATGTACTCCTCCAAAATTCATGTATTAAAATCAGTGAGCCAATTTTGGTATTAAGAAGGTGGGGGTATTAAGAGTCTTTGACAGGTGATTA